AACCCCTCCGGGCCGGCCCGCCACCCCCGGCGGCCCCCTGGGCCCCGAGCCGCGGAGGAGGCGGAGGAAGCGCAGGCGAGTGCGGCAGAAGGAGCCGCAGCGACACACACACAGACACACACACACACACACCCCCCTACCCCTGCCCCAGTCCGTTGTGCCCGTGTCCCGCCGGGACCCCGCTGTGGGAGGGCCCCTGCCCTCCCCCGTAACCGCCGTCCGCGCCGCCTGACTCACGTCCGTTACCGGGCTTGGGCGGCAGGAGGCGGACCCGGGGACCAGGCCTGCTCCTCACCTCGCTACCTCTGCCCCAGAGCGGCTTTTCAGGGACCATCCGAGCCCAAAAATAAATGATCTTTCCCTTAAATTGTTCCAGTAATCCCAAGTGTGACATGCCCAGGGCAGGGCCCTGTTAAGGACCCCGCTGCCACGTCACCTCACAGCTGGCTGGGCCCGTTGGCTCCTGTTTTGCCCGTTAGCTCTTGTGTCGCAGCCATCTCCTGCCTGCCTGCGCCTGGGACGGGGCCTGGCTCCTCGCTGAGCACCTGCTCTGTCGTCTCTCCATTCCAGTGTTCCTTCCATCAACCTGACCAGCTGCAAGTACGAGAGTGGTAAGTCCGAGGTGCTACCGGGCGTCCCTGCAGATCAGCCCATCAGGCTCTGTGGGTGCCCGATCATTGCATTCGGTACGAATTTCCACCACACAGTCGCTTTCAGTTTATTCATTGGTTGTGAGTGACTTGGGCTCCTGTGGAAAGTAGGAGGTTTTTCACACCTTGGACTGAGGTGCCCTCTGGTTTAAAGAGACACAAACTGTGCAAGCCCTCACCCCTCTGTACATCTGCATTCGCCACACATTTGCCAAAACAGTCAAAAAGGGTTTAGTTAGGGGCAGTTACAATAAAGGACTGGTACCTGCGCCTGGAGAAATGGCGTGAGAGCCCTCAGCTGTTTAACATAAAGCCAGTGATGGAACAGACAGGACCGGTACCCAGAACCTCTCATCTCCAGGGAGCTGGTCCCCTCTCCTGTCTTGCTTTTCTTTGCTGCCACAAACTGTTTCTTAAAAGAACAGACTCCTGTCTTCTGATGGATGCTTTTAGCCAATTTGCTAATGACTGTTCTAGCAGTGCAACTGCATTTGCGTGTTGCTGAAGGTCACAGCTTGGTCAGCTGTGCAAGGGACAGGGACAGGAGCCATGTGTTTTGCCTCAGGCCATGCTTGGGCAGTCTGGAGGCGGCAGGGCGGATGGGGACCTGCAAGTGGGGGTGGTGTGGCAGCATGGGCACCGCAGGTCCCAGTGTCACAGTGGTTCCTGGCATGCATTGGCCTTCATTGCCTCCCCAGCCCCCTGAGAGGCCAAATTCAGAAGTGGCACTAACATAAACCATCCCAGCAGCAACCTTCTGCTCCAGAGCTTTTGTCTTATGCTGCCAAATAGCTTTTGAGTTCAGAGATGAGACTCATCCCTTCAGAAGACTTGTATCTGCCCATGCGGCATCAGACCCACAGTGATTCCAGCCTGATGTAGTTCAGGAGGTGCTGTGGTACCCCATGGCATGTGGCTTAGGGGGCTGATGTCTCTTAGTACAGAGGCTGGGGTGAGTTTAGTTGGGTTTCTGACACCTCCTGAAGGGTCCCAACAATACCTTGCATCTCCGAGAGTGGAACTGCAGCCTGGCGAGGTTTGTTCCACACTCTGTCCCTGATTATTTTGGGGATTTAACAGTTCCTGGCGCTTACATCCTCTGCCTGGCCCCTGTTGTGTGCTTGCTCTGGTACAGTGCGGCGGGCAGCACGGTGCTGTGGGCTGAAAGAGGTGGGAGAAGACGAGGAGTGGACGGTGTATTGGACGGACTACTCAGTCTCTCTGGAGCGCGTCATGGAAATGAAGCGGTTTCAGGTAAACACCCCTGTGTAAAGGCTGCCCAGCAAGAAGCGCTCAGGAGGGAGGGTGAGAGGGAGGTTGTTAGTTGACAACGTCTTGCAGAATGGAACTGAAGTGTCCGTACTAGCACCCGTGCCCCCTTCTTCCATCAGTTCCAGAGGGTGCAGCTTGACAAGCCTTTAATTCTGTTGTGTCGTTGGTACGGTGCCATCCCTGATGCTCTGGCAGTTATCAGTGTGAACTGGAAAGCTGCCAACCCCTTTAATGTAGCATGAAATAAATGGTTCTTGATGACAAACGGCTCCCTTCCTGAAGCTGTGATACTCTAGGGAGGGAGAGTCAGAACGAGCAGATAAATCACGCTGCTGAAGTTCAGATAAAGCAGTTGGAGCGTAATCTTGTCCCCCAGCAGACGTTCAAGGCAACCACAGGCCCAGCTTCCTGTTCTGTGTGCCAGCTTCTCTGCACGCAGGCTTTCCTCTGGTCTCCAGGAGAATCCCTGCCGTTCCTTCACTGATTCTGTTTTTCATCTGCACCTCTTTCAGAAAATCAACCATTTTCCAGGCATGATAGAGATCTGCCGTAAGGACTTGTTGGCTCGCAACCTTAACCGCATGCTCAGGCTCTTCCCCAAGGAGTACAATATATTTCCCCGCACTTGGTGCCTGCCAGCTGAGTGAGTGCTACGCGTGAATGCGCTGAGAACGTGGAGGTGAAATGAGGAAGTGGGAGCCCCTGTGCCTGACAGCCCGGGCTGGGACAGGGGGGGCCTCTCTGAGACTTGAGACTCCATCTCTTGGCCCGGGCCTTTGTCACCTTCCCTGGAACCGAATGGGCTGTTGAGACACGGTTCTAGCTTCACACACCTTTAATTGCTATTAGACTGAATCTGCCCGTGGTGTCCTCTGCAGTATGTGTCTTGCTGCTGGGCAGACCACCTGCCTGAGGGCCAAATCTGGGGAGGGGGACCCACCCTGAAAGCCACAGGGCGTTGAGTGAGTGGGAGGTGTAAATGGGTGGGGAAGGTCTCTCAGCAGCTCAGGGTGAAGGGGAGAGGTGGCTGTCGGGCAGTGTGCCAGGCTCCCATCCCCACCTGCTGCCTCGGTGCCTGTCGCTCGCCCAGGATGGGGGCACAAGGCGGTTCCACCCTGCCGACTGCAGTGGGGGTCTTCAGAACCTCCACACCTCTGCCGACCACTGCAGCTGAGCACACAGAGGGCGGTAGGAGGGGGGAGGTTGCTACGCTAATACGTACACAGTTAGATGTAAACCATCACAGAATTCCTCAAGCTTTGGGGTGGAAGGCTGGGCTTCTCTGGGCTCTCGAAGTCTGGGTGGTTGTAAAGACACAAGATGCCCACACTTAGATTTTATTCTTACATTTCCTGAAGACCACGAAGTAGGGCTCTCGTCACTTGTTCTGTAGCTGAACTCGTGGTTAGAGTGATTTTCTTAATTCCTGACCTAAAGCGTCTTTGCTGAAATACCAGCACTTAGTACTTCTCCCATCTGCACTGGCCATGGAGAACAGTGGTTTGCTGCCTTTTGCTAGTAGTGTGCCTTCCCTTTCCTGGAGAAGATGGACCTCGTTCTCTCATCTTTCTTTCCAGGCTGCATTTCCTGGACTCGGATTGCTCTCAGCACTGCTGGGGAGGATTTGTCTTGCTTTTTTGTGCAGTGTTGGGGATTTGCCCCTCTTGCCCCAAACGTGGTCCCCATGAGAGAGAAAGGGCTTCTCCATCTGCAGCAGAATAACTGACATATGGGCTTGACTCTTCAAAGCACTGTGCTCCCACGGGAGCTGCTCATGAAGACCAGCCCTGTGATGCGAGGCAGGAGCTCAGCTCGCGAGCCTCTGCTCCTCCCTGGAACGCTCTGGTGGGGCCTCCTGCCTGCTTGCTGATGAGCTGGCGTAAAAGATGTAAAGCCTTGTGATCTCCTCCTCCTCGTTCATAGCCAGGGCTTGTTTATTTTCTCCTGCTCTCCCTGTGGCAGCAGAGCCAAGATCTTGCCAGCTCCTGTATGCACAGTGGTGACAGCTTCCTGTGAACCCCCCGGGAGCACTGGGGATATGCCCGAGTTAATGGTGGAACCAGGAGAGCTCTGTCAGGTGGCATGAGGACCAGTCTGTAACTGATGAGATCAGGAACAGGCGTGCTGCTCCTCTGCTGCAGAAGTTTGGTTTGTTCTGGCCTGCAGCACTGTAGTTTGAGTCCCTTCCATTATGAGAGGGCTCGGGGTCAGGTTTTTTGCAGCTTGTAAAAGCCACCCCTGCCTTGCACAGCTATGGCGATTTCCAGGCCTACAGACGCATGAGGAGAAACAGAACATTCATCTGCAAACCAGACAGCGGCTGCCAAGGAAGAGGGATCTTCATAACGCACAATCCTGAGGAGATCAAACATGGAGAGCGCATGATCTGTCAGCAGTATATCTCTAAGGTAACAGGGACAGTCTCAATCGCTTTTCCAGTACCACATGCCCTCTGTGCGTCTTTGCCCTACACCTTCCCAGAGCAGCTAGGGCGGCCGCAGTGCCATGGCTGGGGTTTGCCTTTCTCCTGGCTGTGAGCTGCCGCGGAGCGGCACAAGCAGTGCAGAGAGAGCAGCCAACAGTGAGGAACTGGCAGCATGCCTAGCAGTGTTTCTTTATCTCATGCCTGCTCCTGCCTCTTTTCTCACAGCCTTTCCTTATTGACGGCTTTAAATTTGACATGCGGATCTACGTGCTGGTCACATCTTGTGACCCGCTGAGGATTTTTGTCTACAAGGAGGGTCTGGCCCGGTTTGCCACCATGAGGTACATCGATCCCAGCAGCAGAAACCTGGTAAAAAAGGGAAGTTTTCAGAAAGCTTGCATAGTATTTGTAGGTGTCCCTAATTTGTCCTAGGGGCATTCAGACCTTGAAAAGATGGGGACTGGTGCATTTTGTGGGACCCAACTTTATTCTTTCCTATTCTCCCCTCCCTCTGTACCTCCCCCTCCTCCTCAAGGGAGGTATTTCAGGAGCATCTGAAGTAGATCTACTCCCAGGCCCCACGTTTGGGCTCTTTACTGGCATTATCACAGAATCACGGAGTTGTTTTGCTTGGAAGGAACCTTGGAAGATCTTGAGTCCAACCTTCTGCTCAAAACTGGGTCAACAATAAATTCTGATCTGGTTTCTTGGGGTTTCACCCAGTCAGATGTTGAAAACCTGCAAGGACAGAGACTCCACAGTGCTTCTGGGCAACATTCCCACTGCTTTTTCCCCTCTTTATAAGCACCCAGTCCGCACCATTCCTCATCTACCTGTGCTCTGGGCAGAAAAGAGGGACCAGGGAAGAGCCTGGTGGTCCTGGAAGAGCCTGGGAGAGACAGGGAGGGGAACTGGGAAGGCAAGGTGTGGAGTATGGCCGTGCCCATATCTGGGTGGGGGTCTGTGAGCTGTCAGACCCCAGCGGAGGATGGGCTGTAGTGCTGGGCTGCCCTGCCATGGTCACTGCCCAGCCCCACACCTCTGGAGCTGCCTGTGTGTACGTGCCGCCCCCCCCCCCCCCCCCCCCCCCCCCCCCCCCCCCCCCCCCCCCCCCCCCCCCCCCCCCCCCCCCCCCCCCCCCCCCCCCCC